GACAGGGATGCACGTAAGCTTGTCTAAGTCGGGGTGAGGGGGTGGGGAGTTAGGGGGTCACTCTGCACAGTGAGATCCCTTAGAAATAAACTGTCAGAAGGCACACCTGGGCCAGGAGTGTGGGCAGGAAATCTGTCAGACAATCACTCTCTTTGTCTCCCTCTTTGGGGTTAGGAAGTCTCTTATCTCCACTTTTCTCTGTCTGCTTTTTAGTATTTTCTACACACTCATTTCCTCTTTGGTTTGTCTCCTTCAACTTAAAATGGCTTTCTCAGCTGCTAACTCTGTGACCTCGCAGCCCAGAGGCCCACCACTAACTCCGTGTCCCAGTGTCCCCATTTCAAGTTCCAAGGGGAGAAAATGTGATTTGCCTCTTGGTGAGCTCAACAATTACAAACAGAGCTGTCCAAGTTCTTCCCTGGTTTAAGGCAGTAGTTTTCAAAGTAGGTTCTCCCCCCACCAGCAGCATTAGAAATGTAAATTCATGGGCCCCACCACAACCTGTTGAATCGGTATCTGTAGCGATGGAGCCGAGGACACTATGTTAGAGCAGTAGGTGAGGTAAGATTCTTTAGAAGGAGATGTGGGTAAGGACTACCATCTTGGTATACCAAGGTAGAGGCTGAGAAGCAAGAGCCAAGGAGAGTGGCATGGGGGGAACCCAGACATGGAGACACGGGTCTCGGATGTGACCTCAGTTTTCATCACTGGGGACCAGATCTACAGTGAAGGGGCAGGAAAGGGGTCATAGAAAATGGCCTGGAATGTGACCTAATCCTAAACCAAACTTGCGATCCTAACTTTGAGGGCCTGGGAAGGCAAAGGAAATCAGTGGAAATGGGGAAGGAAGGGTCCAATTGATAACTGCAAGTACTTGGGGGCTGTGCTTGGCTGCTTCATCAGTTATAAGCTGATTCGGAGGAAGCTAGAACTAACTATTAAATTCAATTCATGACACTTTAAACATTAAAGAAAGCTGAATTTTCAGCAGGAGTAGAAATCGCTGCGTGCCTGATGTTTGCTTTTTTCCATGGCACATAAACGGCATTAAATTTGAAATTTATACTGTAAAAATAGCTTCACAGGAGTACCGTTATTAACATAACCTTACCTCAGACAGATTTTTTATTACTGGAGACAACTCTTTTATGTAAAAAAATATATTAATGGCTGGAGCAGGAAAAAAATACCAACTACAGATGGTAAGCATTTGCTTGCAAAGTTACATCAAACTTAACATTAGCCTTGGAAAACAGAAACACGTTTTAAACAAAAGGATTTAAATATTCTTATAGCCTGATGTCCATTTTTACCTCTGGGTTAGGATACAGCATAAAGAGTGCAACATTAAGTGATCAATAATAAAAAAAAGTTGAGAATGTTTGCTCAAAACTGCCATTTAATGAGTTGTTACAGCATTTTTACTGGAAGATTCAATTTAGTGACATCCATGGAAAAAGACATTTTATCGGTATGAAATAGGTGGATTTTGTGTACTTGAGACAGATGCCTAAACCAATGGTTTGATAAAGGTGCACAATTCAACCAAGAGCGCTGAGGATGAGAAGAAATAAGGGAATAAAAAGGCTTTGAAATATTTTCTGTAATTCCCATACCCATTAGTGACACGTATAGGTAGTGGGTTTCTATTTTAGGAAGAAAGAAAAAGGTGAATTCCCTAAGAATTGTTATTCTTCCCCCTTTCCTTCAAAAATAAGTAAAATTATGATGATGCCAATGCTACACATCTAATGTTAAAATTTAATTCAATGACAGGTATTGACGTATGTGCGGTTTTAAAGTATTATTCTTATTGGAATCTTTTGTTTTAAGCACTAAGATTTACACTTATACATAGACAAGCCTAAACAGAGTCTTCCCTGCATATTAAGCATGTGTGCATTTTTCTGCAGTGTCCCTGATAGTTGAACTAGAGGCCCGGTGCATGAATTTGTGCACAGGAGAGGGGACAAAGGGAGGGACCACAGGAGGTTGGCCCGCCAGGGGAGGGAATGTGGAAGGTTGGCCCCTGGCCCCAGGGAGGGAGCTGGCCCTCAGCCTCCCTGGGAAACAGGCCACATCTGCTGCTATCCAACCTGGTTCCCCATCCCAGCCTGGGCCTGAGGGCCCTGGTGGAGTCAAGAGAGGAGGCGATGGTTACTGGGCCAGGCGATGGTTACTGGGCCAGAAGGAATGGACACAGGAAGCCAATGCTGCCATCTTGCCCCGCCATCACGTGGTTCCCTGCTCTCCCCCTTCTTCCCTTGCCGCCATGCCACCACCATAAGGATGGCAACGAGACAAACCCATGTGTCGAGGGCTGACTTTCAGTAGATCGCAGTGAGGAAGCTGCTCTGTTACATATGAAACCCCCATGTAGAAGCAGGTCTCTACGAATGGTTTAGCAATTGGAGCCAAACTGGCAGGGGGAGGGGCTATAGGAGGTTTGCTGTGGGAGTGCACTGACCACCAGGGGACAACTTCTGCATTGAGTGTCTGCCCCCTGGTGGTCAGTGCATGTCATAGCGACTGGTCTTTCGGTCATAAAGGTCACTTAGGCTTTTATATATAGATGCACTGCTTTGAACTTCACAACAGGCAGTCTCCCCAGTTCTCCCATCAAGTTCTGAAATCCTAACCTCTACCTAATAAAAATCTGCAAATTACTTTAATGGGTGATTGGGAACCAAGTGTTTGCCATAACAACAAGGAAAAAGTGTATGTATATGTCAGTTTGCTAATTTTTACTTCCATTATTCATCTAGTCTCTTATATGGTGATAGTGGCTATTGTTCGAATTGATTAGTGTATCTTCAGAGCTTCTGTAGCAAAAGAAGCACTTAAAAAGGGTTTTGTTCACGCTTTGGCACATAGTAGGCATTTAATATTTACCTACCATGTTTCCCCCAAAATAAGACATCCTCCAAAAATAAGACCTACTTACAGGTTTCCTTCTGAGTGAAATATAAGGCATCCCACCCGAAAATAAGCACCCCCCTCCCCCAAGGCTAAACATGAGAGATTTGGTCCACTGATTTTGAAAGAAATGGAGTCACAAGAAATTCACCAGGAAATTCAGGGACTGTTATGATGATGTTCCAGAAGATGATAACATGATTGTCATTGAATAAATGAATAAATTCTTGATACTGTAGGATACTACCGTACCGTATACAGGTAATAAATTTCCTTTATTTTAATTTAGCAATAAATGTGTACCGTATTCTTCTTCATGGAAAAACAAGACATCCCCTGAAAATAAGACCTAGCGCATCTTTGGGAGCAAAAATTAATATAAGACACTGTCTTATTTTCGGGGAAACAGGATAGTATTTCTAGAACTTTATGTAATTTTTGGATCACTTTAATTGCAGATTGTACTCAGACTGATGAAATGCTCCTGGAGGTAGTAACTTTATCTGGATCTTGAAATCATATCACTGATGAGTTCAAAATAACAACTGACACTGATTTAGGATGAAAAGATCTCCGACTTTATTCAACATTTAAAATTGCATTAATGTTAAACCAGCCTTAAACAAAGCATACACACAAAAAAAATCCCCCATGCTGTCATCCTTAGTTTTCACTGTGCTGGACACTTTTGCACAACTTTTTATTGTGCTTTTAAACTTCGATTATTTGTAAACTCTTCCATAATATATGATCTTCACAACTGCCATGTAAATGGCTGCACAAAACCCCATGCAGTTGATGCAAGGTAATCACCAGGGGCTGTTTGCTCAACCCCCCTTTTGTTAGGAACCAGACTTTGCAAAGAACATCTTCTGTATGATTATACGTCAAGAATAAGTTTCTACGAGTGCAATGACAGAGGCCAAGGAGAAGGAACACTTATTTTTGTTTTGCCTTCCTGAGATAACGACACACAGCCCTGCACGCCGGGCTTTTCACCCATTTCTCTCGAAGGTTTGTCCTGTTAATAATCCTTTAAGGCAGGCTCATTATCCTCCCATCCCGGCGCTCCAGCTGGGAAGAGCCCGAGCAGGCAGGTAACCCGATCTCTCTCCTCAGGTGAGTCCTGGATGGAGGTGGCAGCGGCGGTACCAGGAGCGAAACGCCCTGGGGGCATTTGCTGGAATCCTCGGTATGGAAATAGAGTCTGTTCCCTCCGCGACGCTCCCTTCCCAGAGGGCAGCGGTTCTAACTCGGCTCGCCCCACCTCTCGGGGAGCACGGCGCGCAGGGGGCGACTGCTAAGAGCAATCTGCGCCGCCTTCCGAGGCTCGGACACGGAACCGCTCCGGGTGCCGGAGAGCTCGGCGCCGCCACTTTCCCCGCGGGCTCCCGCTCAGGGTCGGCGCGGGACCCCCGGCGGACCTCGGGCGCCCAGGCAGAGCCCAGCCTCGCGCCCCGAGCCCCCGGCACCCCGCGCGCGCCCGCCCCGCCCACGCCCCGCCCATCACGTCTGATCCCGCCCCCTGCCCCGCCCTCCCCCCCCCCCCCCCGACTGCTCCCTGCCCCCCGCAGCCGACGAGTGGCCGCGGCGGCTGCAGGACCCGGTTCGCTCAGACAAGAGGGCGGGTGGAGGAGGAAGCGGCCGATCCCCGAGTCTGCTCCGGCGCCGCCGAGCACCACCCGCCGCCGCCGCCGCCGCCGACCAGCCCCGTCGGCTCCGGGCCCCGCCACGCCGAGAGGAGGAAAAGGCGGAGGCGGCTGCGTGGAGGCGGCGGGGGCGCGGGCGCGGGCCGAGGCGGCGCGGCCGGCCGCGGCTGCCGCTTTGTTGTGCGGCCCGGGCGGAGGAAGGAGAAGAGGGAGGAGGAGGGGGGAGCCCGGCGTCCCGCTCCCTCCGCGGCTCATGGCGACGACGCTCGGCACATCCGGGACCCTCCGGCCGCCACGGCCGCGGCGCCGGCTGCTCGGGCCGCAGCCCCGGCCGCTGTGGTGACTCCGCCGCGCCTCGCCGTCGCCCCCGCCCGCCGCCCGCCGGCCCGGGCCCCGCGCCGCGGCCGCAGCCCCGCCGCCCCCGCCGCCGGGGACATGTCTAACCCCGGGGGCCGGCGGAACGGGCCCGTCAAGCTGCGCCTGACAGGTGAGGGGGCCGGGCGGGCCGGGCCGGGCGGCCGCGGGTGGGCGAGCCGGCGGGGGGTCGCCGGTGGCCTTGGGAAGGCCAGGGTCGCGATCAGTGGTGAGGGGGGGAGGGAGGTCGGGGACGTGGGAAGGCCTAGTTCAGGGAGAGCGAGGGCCAGACCACTCGCCCTTGTTCGGAAATTCTTGGAAAAAGCTAAAAAGGGGACTCGGGATCTTTTGTGGAGGGGAGCGGGGAGACCCGGTTGGAATCCCAGGCGGATCCGAGGCCGAAAAGCCGTGACTCTCTCCGGGGCCCCGGGCGGCAGCCCCGGGAGGCAGCCCAGGTGGGGTCGGTGCGGGGCCGGGCGGCTCCCGGGCGGGGAGGATTGAGTCCGGTGGCCGGCCGCGCGCAGTCAACACTCCTTAAAGATGGAGCGCTTAGCGGGAGGGTGTGTGTGTGAGTGAGTGTGTGTGTTCGTTCCCCGGTTGCTAACTTGTTCGTCCACTGGAGCCTCCGTGCAAAGCCCCGCACGCACCGCGCCGCCCGCCGCCGGGCCCGCGCCGCGCACCTGGAACGCACGTCCCGGCGGCGGCAGGAGCCCGCGGTGGGCTTTTCCGGCGTGTCTGCCGCCCCGACGGCTCCGGCGCACTGCACACCGGGTTTTGGGAGTGTTTGATTGCAGGATAGCACGTTTGGGGTTGTTCCTTGTAGGCCGCAGAACGGTGTCTCTCACGTCTAACTCCAGACCGGCTTTACAAACACACTTTTTTTTTTTTTTTTTTTTTTTTTTTTTGGTGCATGTCTAAGTGCTACAAACTTACAAGCGAAGTTTCCTTTCTCTCAACTCCCCCCTGTTCCCTTTTCTAAATGGAAAAGAGATATCTGGAGGGGTTGCTAGCTAGAAGAAGGCTTCCCTTACAAAGTGTGGAGGAGTCCAAGGGCATTGGGTCTTGAACATCCCAGGTCCATTTTGCTTCCCCTGCCATTTCTGGTATCCTGGCACAAGTCGTGTTACACATGTTAAGGGAACATTGATTTTTGGTTTGAAAAGTGTAACTGAAATGCGATTTGCCTTTCACTGTTAATAAGTCACCCACCATGGTTTTCGGATGTGTGGTGAGAAAGGATGGTTTTCCTTAATCTGTGTGTGTGTGTGTGTGTGTGTGTGCGCGCACTTGTAAGAGTAAACTGTAATTATGTTTGCCTACACTAGACTTTGAGATTTATATGGACTAATTTTTGTAATTGTATGCCTGTATGTCACATCCCAGCCCACTAGCTGAACTTGCGAGATACAAACTTGCAGTGAATTTGGTATTTGAGAAGGTTAGCCTGTCTTGGCTGCAGTTTACAAAATATATTACTTTCCTGACAGTTTTACTTTCCCTAGGGAAAGCTGCAAAGAATCATTAACTGAGTGGTTCTTAATGGAAAACCTGGATTGTCTGTCTCCTGTTTCCCCCATTCAGTTTCCTTATTTTCTTATGAATCAATGGAAACCTTTATAAGGGATCTTTGTTGCTTTAGAGTTTATCTACCGCTGTTCCTCTCCGAGTCAGTCCTGAGGCAGTGATTGTGAAAAGAACCTGTGATTCCAGGTGTGCAGAAAGCATCAGAAATAGGCTGTTGGCCATTGATTTCAAAATCCCAAAACAGGGGTTTTGATTTTCTGCAGATAAAATAAGTTTGAGGTTTTTTGTGTGACTCATTAGATCTTAAAGTGTTTATCTGTGATTTCCTGACTGCATATGATATATTAGAAAAATTCACACATTAAGTTAGGAAAGATTACTTATTATTTTTTTGGGGGGAGGAGAGGAGAGGAACACTGGACTAAATTTATAGAGTGATTTTGTACTTTTAGATTTTTCTGAGGAATTTTAAATATACTGTGTCCCTTACTAGTAACTGTAAAAACAGTTAAGGTACTCTCAGTTTCATAAAACCATTGGGAATTTGTCTCTGTTGTATTTTAAGAGAGAAATATTCAAATATTAAAAACACTGCTCTTTCCCTTTTGGTTACATGTGATGGATTTTCTTCTGTTTTGCCAGGAAAGTTAACATATTTTTTTTCTTTTTTGTTCATTTACAAATTAGATGGTATATATTTTAACAAATAGATCTCAAGAGCTGGATTCAATTAGCAGCTTTTTAGGACATAAACATTAAAGGGTTAGATGGAAAAGATTGTTTTGACTGACTGGATAAATGACAGGGCCGTGTTTGATGTTCGTCCAGGAATTGGTCTGGAGCTGGTGCCCAACTTTTCAGTCCATCTTGAGAAGCCAAATAAAATATTTAACCTAGGCCTCATTTTGTTTTCTGGAAAAAAAAAGTTGATTCTTTGTTAAGACCTTAAGAAATGTTTGGCATACCTTTAGACTAAGTGTTTAACAGTTCATTTAGATCCGGATTCCATAATAAAGGAAAATCACTAAAAAAAAGGCAGATCACCCAGTGAGTTTTTAATATGTTTTACAATACACTGGAGCTGTAAGATGCTTTAGATGATTGTTCTTTGCTTTATGTTAATACAATACCAGTATTTAAAAATTTTTAGCGTCTTTGATTTCAGGATGCTTTATGAACTGTAGTTACTCAATTATATCCTTAATGGAGAGGTGCCCCTTTACTGAAAGGTGTCAACAATTCTTACGTGGTGACACACACACACTCACTCACTTACTAGTACACATACACACAAACTGAATGAGAAGAAATATTTGAGCTATGAGATCTCTGCCCACAACAGACATTAGATTTTTCCACCTATTCTGAAGACCACAATTAACTAGTGAACAGTTTGGTACTTGTTGGTACTATTAATTTAAACCCAAATTTAAGATTCCTCAGGACATTAGTGGTTAAAATCAGAATGAGTCCATTAAGCTACTTCTGTTTATCTTTATGACATATTAATACTTATTCATTATAGTGAATTCTGTGCTAAAGATATCAATTTTAACAAGTACTTCTAGAGTAAATTGATTGTAAAATTTATGTACATTACACATATGAATATCTGATGATAGGCTTTTCTTACATATTCTTTGTATTTGGTTATAGTAAAAAGTTGGTAATTTTTAAATATTGTGTGTGTTTTTTCTTTTTTAAAAAAATATATATTTTATTGATTTTTTACAGAGAGAAGCAGAGAGGGATAGAGAGCTAGAAATGTCAATGAGAGAGAAACATCGACCAGCTGCCTCTTGCACACTCCCCACTGGGGATGTGCCCGCAACCAATGTACATGCCCTTGACCGGAATCGAACCCGGGACCTTTCAGTCCGCAGACCGACGCTCTACCACTGAGCCAAACTGGTTTCGGCTGTATGTGTTTTTTCATTCATTATTGTTTTTGAGAATCAATGAACTGTTTGACCCTACCTATTTGGAAAAATCAGTTTAATATAATTCCTAATATTTAAAATTCTTAGATATGAAGAAGAAACAGAGGACCTTTCCAGACTTTTTGTAATTTAAATATTTTTGTATGCAGCTCCTCATATTATTAATTTATAAAACCCTTGGTGGTAATGAGGTTAACTTTGTCTTGCTAATAAAAAATTAACTTTAGCCCTAGCTGGTTTGGCTCATTCGATAGAGAGTCAGCCTGTGGACTGAAGGGTCCTGGATTTGATTCTGGTCAGGAGTACATGCCTGGGTTGTGAGCTTGATCTCCAGTGGGGGGCATGCAGAAGGCAACCGATCAATGAGTCTTTCTCATCATTGATGTTTCTATCTGTCCCTCTCCCTTCCTGTCTGAAATCAATAAAAATATTTAAAAAAAATTAAAAAAAGAAAAATCTACTTTAAAAGCCTCACTTAGATATTCTGGTATTTTAATATTGTTTTCCTGCATATTTTATTGATATAAGACTTTAAAAATTACAACTTGATTATATGTCTCAGGTTTCTGAGTAGGAAAGTGCCTATATACCATAATGACTTATTCTAGGGGTATTAGTGATTTGAATGTCCCCAATTCATTTTACAGTGGGTCCTTGGGTTAGTTGGAGATCCCTTCCTACAGCGCTACGAAATGCTGATTTTTGCCATAAGTTGGAACCCACCTACATAAGCACCTACGTCACTCACATGGAGCACATACACAGCAGTAATGAAGTGAAACAATAAAAAAAATTTAAAAGAAAGATAACAATTCCTGACCTTTAATTGTGGTAAATAAATAATAAAGAACATAAAGCACATATGTAAATATGTCAAAATGATGGAACTTTTTAAAAAAATAAATGGGAGATGGTGACGTAACCATGAAATGACGTATATGGAGTCCGAGTAACCCGAGGACTGCCTGTAAGGCAATCTAGTTTTCCTCCTTCCTTTTCTCTTTAAGTTATTTTGACTACTCTCATCTTTAGACAGGCAGTTGGACCTGCCTAGGTGCTACATGTAGTTGGTTTTCATTGGCAAGTAAAGTGTGTGTGTGTGTGTGTGTGTGTGTGTGTGTTTTAATCACGGATTCTACTTTTTTCCTCTTGGTTGAATTGTAACTATAACAGTATATTAACGTGTCATTTATTTAGCATATAATTTAGTGTATTTTGCATATAACTAAGTTTTCAAGGTAAATGAAGGACTATACTTTAGGCAACAAGATTCTTATTTTAGCTATTTTTGATGTTTTAAAGATTTTGAAGACTCAAAGATGTAATATGTCCTACTCCTTTAAAATAGACCATACTTATCAGAACTTAGTGTTTTATTTATGATTTAGTATCATCCTAATGTATAAAGAGCCAGGGTCCATAACATCCAAAGTGACAGAACAGATGAACAAACGCCAGGCTGCGGGCGCAGCAGGCTTGGGTGGGCGGGGCCTGGCGAGCAGGCTGAACTGCTGACCTCTTGGTCCCTTTTGGGTTGTGGGCACTGTGGCGACCCAGCCCTGACTGCCACCACCAAGGCGTGTGTGATGTGATTGGTTGGGGGCTCCCGCCATTGCCCCAGGATTGCCCTGCAGAGGTAGGCTTAGGCTACCCAGCTGGGGGTGGTGGG